TTAATTTCTTTCTTCTTCTCATCTATTTTTTTTTTGTGTTATTATATGTGGTGCTGTTTATTTGTAAAATTTTTATGCTTATTGTATACTTTTTATGGAAGCCGCTCAGAGTGGTCGATCTGACCAGATGAGCGGGATATAAATCAAATTAACAACAACAACAACAACAACAACAACAACAACAACAACAACAACAACTATAATTCAACATTCCATGTATGCCCCACTTTCCGCTCATTTTGGGACTTTCCTGGCTCCAAACGCATAACCCCCTAGTAGACGGCACAAGGGGAGTTGAGCTTCAGGGATCCGTGTCTGCATCTGGTTCCACTGGCCACTGGCTGCAGCAGGACCAACAGACAGTCCCATGATACCTCCGGAATACAGGGACTTTGCTGATGTTTTTGAGGAAAAGGGGGCCAACCAGCTATCCCCACATTGACCCTATGATTGTGCCATCAATTTGGTGCTGAGGCACCCCTTCCTGTGACGCGGATCTACCCTATGTCTGAACCAGAATCCGTGGCCTTGTGGGCCTTTCTTGATAAAAACCTGAAACTGGGATTTATCCGACTGTCCATGTCACCCGTCTGCACCCATTATCTTTGTCCAAAAAAGGGCGGAGAGCTCCGCCTCTGCAATGATTACCAGGCCTTGAATAAAATAACTATTCTGGACCGCTACCCCCTGCCATTGATCGGTGAGCTCCTGGATCACCTTAAGGGGGCACGGGTCTATACCAAGCTGGACCTCCACGGTGCCTACAATTTGGTGAGAATACATGGAGGCAACGAGTGGAAAATGGTTTTCAGGACTCGTTATGGCCAACATGAATACCTGGTCATGCCTTTTGGCCTGACCAATGCTCTGGCTGTCTTCCAGCAGTCCATGAACGTCATCTTCCGAGACCTGCTTGATCGCTTTGTGAGCATCTATGTGGATGACATTTTGATTTACTCCTGAGACCCCACTCAGCACACAGAACAAGTTTGTCAGGTCCTACAACGACTACGAGATCACTGACTCTATGCCAAGCAGGAGAAGTGTGAGTTCAACCTGCAGGAATTCGCGTTCCTAGGCCACATTGTGTCACCCCAAGGGATCCAGATGGACCCAAAGAAAACAGAAGCAGTTCTGACCTGGCAGAAGCCCCAGAACTGTAAAGATGTGCAACAGTTTCTCGGCTTTGTGAACTATTACCACCAGTTTATAGCAGCCTATGCAGACATAACCACGCATGTGACCCATCTCCTATGGCCCAAAGAGCCATTTCTTTGGACTCCGGAGGCAGACCATGCCTTCACCACCCTGAAAACCCATTTTACAACCAAATCAATCCTGCGTTATCTAGATCCCCAACTACTGTTTACTGTGGAAATGGATGCCTCCAGTGTTGCCCTGGGTGCAGTGCTGTCCCAGCGGCAGGAGCCCTCACAGCCACTGTAGCCCTGCGCCTTTTACTCCCAGCAGTTCACACCTTCAGAATGTAACTACACCATCTGGGAGCAGGAACTCCTGGCCATCAAAACCGCTTTTGAGGTCTGGAGGCATTACCTTGATGGAGCCCATCACCCCGTCAAGTTTTGACTGACCACTGGAATTTGGAACACTTGCAGACAGCCCGACGCCTCAGGTGGAGCCTCTTCTTCTCACGGTGTGACTTCCACATTACCTATATCCTACAGACCCAGAATCAGAAAGCTGATGCCCTCTCCCACAAACTGGAATATGCGGTATCACCCTCCAAAGAGTCTCCAACTGCACCTATCCTATCACCCTCAGTCTTTGCAGCCACTACAACCCGCTTGTCCTTGGCTGAGAAAATCCAGGCCAGCCAAGCTCAAGATCCCTGGGCCAAGCAACGCTTGCAGGAACTCCAGGGGGGCCCTTTTGAAGACTTTGCTAACCACTAGGGTCTCCTATTGCACCCAGGGCGCCTGTATGTCCCTCCAAGACCATGATGAGCCAACATGCTCTATTTGACCCATGATTCCCCTCCTGCAGGACACTTTGGTCAATATAAGACACTGCACCTACTCACACTGGAGTTCTGGTGGCCCTGGGTTCACACTGACGTTGCTTGTTATGTCAATTCCTGTGAGGTTTGTTGTCAAGCCAAGGACATACCAGCCAAACCTCCAGGGCTGCTACATCCACTACCCACACCAGCTGGCCCTTGGGACACAGTATCTCCGGACTTCATTACTGACCTCCCACAGTCACAAGGGTGCATTCTGGTAATAGTGGACCTGTTCACCAATATCAATCATTTTGTCCCATGTCCCAAGCTTCCCACAGCTCCTGAAACAGCTCAGCTTTACCTTCAACATGTTTTTCATTTACACAGACTCCCAACAGACTTAATTTCGGATCGTGGTTCCCAGTTCATCTCCCGGTTCTGGCAAGCCTTGCACACCAGTTTAGGTACCCAGGTGCACTTATCGTCAGCGCACCATCCTCAAACAGATGGGCAGACCGAGTGTACTAATGCCACTCTTGAACAGTACCTACATTGCTATACCTGCTATCAGCAAGATGATTGGGCTACATTGCTACCCCTGGCTGAGTTTGCCTACAACAACGCTATACATTCATCCACAAAACAGACCCCATTTGCAGCCACCTATGGATACCACCCTCATTTTTACCCAGTTGTCCTGCCATCAACCAGAGTTCCTGCTGCTCACACTCATGTACGTGAGTTGCAGGCTCTCCAAGGTTACTCCGAGAGCAGCTTTAGCAAGCTAAAGATGCCTACAAGACAGCGGCTGACAGAAAACGGCAAGAAGGGCCACCTCTGAAACCAGGGGACCAGGTCTGGCTCTCCACCTGTTATCTACGCTGACCTGGCCAGTCACACAAGTTGGACCCTTGGTTTGTGGGGCCTTATTTAATCACAGATCAAATAAAGCCTGTTGCTTTTAGGTTACACCTCCCAGCCACTCTCCGTATTCACCCAGTTTTCCATCAGTCCCTCCTTGTCCCTGTTGCAGCACCGGACCCTGCCTGACCTCCACCCCTGGCTCCACCTCCACCTATTTTGGTTGATGGCAAGGAAGAATACGAAGTTCATCAGATCCTAGACTCCCGAATCCACCCGGGAGGCCTTCAGTACCTTGTGGACTGGGAGGGCTATGGCCCTGAGGATTGATCATGGGAAACTGCAAGTAACTTACAGACCCCCGACCTTGTACAACAGTTCCATGCCTCCTATCCTGATCGATAGCTTGTAGAAGCAACAAGTCAACGCTTTGGGTCGCATCCACTCTCCTACTTACCCTGGACCCTGTTCTCTGGACCCTTGGCTTTGGACTCTGACTGCTGACTATGGTTTGTGTTCTAGCTTTGGCATTTTGGTATCTGCTTTGCATCTTCTGGACTTCTGATATTGGACTGGTTTATTGGACTGTCGCCTGTTGAAATCCCCTGGGAACGTGACATGCTTTAGCCTTTTTCCATAGCTGAGGTTCCCCAGCCATCTTTGACTATGGAACAGCTTGCTGCCAGAGATCTGCCTGGCACCCTCACTGGGTGTTTTCAAGAGCCAATTAAAAACTTGGCTCTTTAGGCAAGCCTTCCCTCCTGCCAATACTTGACTTTTACTTTTCTTGGTTTTGTTGTTTATTCCCATCTTGATTATAGTATTATTGTAGATTTTAATTGTTGTTTTTAACTTGTTTGTGCACAATATATTGTGAGCCGCAGTGAGTAGACTTCTGTCTAGAAGGGCAGGATAAAAATCCAATAACAAATAAATAAATCTTGAAAGTCGCCCAGCAGCTCATACTGAGCATTCTGGATATCTGACTATACTACCTACCTAGAACTCCTAAATGTTGGGAGTTTTGTTTCAAGGGGGATAATTGAAGCTTGCAAGCCCACATCATTGCCACATGCTGTGTATACCCATGACCCTTGGCATAGATATAATGGCAAATTTTTAACTACAGATTCTTCCCAAATCACAACCTCAGTGAGTCTAAAACGGAGGAAGCTGTACTGATGCATATCTACATCTCTATCCGCATCCCCCCTCCAGATAGGTTAATAGATTGATAGCTCCTAATAGATTTCCTAGCCTTTGAGGTGCCAGATAATTGCATTTGTGAAGGCTTTCCTGGCCTGGATCTAATGGTTGCTGTGGGTTTTTTTGGGGGGGGGGGCTCTTTGGCCGTGTTCTGAAGGTTGTTCTTCCTGATGTTTCGCCAGTCTATGTGGCTGGCATCTTCAGTTTGAAAACAAACTGCACCAGAGCACAGAGTGCTACTCCAGTCCTCTGAAGATGCCAGCCACAGAGACTGGCAAAACGTTAGGAAGAACAACCTTCAGAACACGGCCAAAGAGCAATGAAGAACCCACAACAACCACTGCCAGAGAATTCTTTGTTTCTTCTGCAGTAGAGGAACACAGTAACCTCTTTGAAAACAGGCATTGGTATAAGTATAGCACACCACTCACACTCATACACAGAAGCAGCAGCATATTACATAATTAAATAATCTAATAATGATTCTGTTTTCCCCCAAGATTTTCTAATTACAAAGTACGCAGAAGTATTTTATCATTTTTTTACTTCCAGTGATGTTCTGGGACTGTGTAGTTTTTCCAAGTCGAAATAGGCTGGGTCTTTTTCCAGGAGGCATGGTAGGGAGTCCCGCTTCAGATTCCTGGCTCCACAATCAGTTGGTTCAATCTGCTGGGCTATCCAGCCAGCTACATGGTGTAATACACAGTTTATTTTGATTTGCTGACACTAATGCAATAATGAGATCTGGCCAGGCTAAGTCAAATATTTAGTGCTAGAACAGAAACATCTCTCAATAACATATTTTTGCTAGGAAAACCTACCCCATTCCCAGCTAGTCATCCCAGCCAATTAAAAAGTCCCAGTGTGTTGTCCCTGTGAGCCCTGGTTCCACTACAATCCTTGGCTGTGTGTTTTTGTGAATCTGCTGGTTCCCTTTGGTGAAGCCATGTTTACCTTTTCTTTCCTGTCATAGGCATGGTGAATTTCAGTGAGGTGTCTGGATATCCCCTGTTGCAACACTGGAATGTGCGTTCTGTCATGTACCATGTTCGGCTCAACCAGCTGACTAACTCCCAAGGTATGTTACATCCATCCTCAGATGTGAGATGTGGGTTTAAGATTATAACAACCACTGAGATTAATTAGGGAAAGTGTTAAGGTGATTTAAAGGGCTCAGTCCTGGCTACATTCCTCCTAATTCTCTCCACACCCAAGAAAATAGAGAGTAGACCTAGAAAAAAAAAGGCAACATGTTTGGGCCAGACCTTGATAGCTGGAAACATCCCATGGCCTGACTTAGCCCATGGATTTTATCAGCATTTTGGATTTCAAAGACAGGGATACACAGATCAGCCTGTTGATTCATCAACATGAGATTCTTGTAGAACTTTTTCAAATGTGTTTCTTCACAAAAATGGCATTTTAGTAAGCATTTCACTCTAATATATATTAGAATTATGTTAACTTTAACTTTATATACATTTTGGTACATACTTTGATCTGCAAAATTTGAGAAAGTGTGATAGTGGTATTCTAATCTGTAGATTGCTGTAAGAAGCATGAATTAGGAGATTTTTTTAAAAAAAAAAACGCATATAAACATTAAGGTATTTCCTTCCCAGGGCTATATGCCTCTAGCTTTGTACTTATAGCTCCTGAGTACCCTTAGTCATATGATCAATGTAGAACAAGATAGGTGTTTACTAGAGATGGGGACAACTCACCATTTTGGTGAGTCGTCCTGCTTCGTGAGTCGTCAAAAGTTGACAACTCATGAAGCACGAAGTTGCCCCCATGAAGTGATGAATAATGAAGTTATTTGTCGATTTGTGCGGGGGTTATTTAAAAAGGTAGGGTGAAGAAGGGGTGGGGGTAGACTGTGGGGGTGGCTGTGGGATGGCTGTGTGTGGGGTGACTGCCTATCAGCTGCCGATCAGCTGATCGGCGGCTGGTAGGCAGAAGGTTTTTTTTTTAAATAGGAAGGGGGGGTCGGTGGGGTGGGGGGGGGGCTAAGGTAGGGCTGAAATTTCAGCAGCAGGACCTTTAACGCAGGTTACAATTGCACTTTCTGGTGTTGGTGGGGAGTTGGTATTGGTCTCCTACCTTGATGGTAGCATTAAATATGCTCAGTACTGACCTTTATCAAAATTTGACTTTTGGACACAAGTGTTTTTATAAGAACAGCCAACTGAATAGTGAAAGCCTGCTGTTGCTAAGGAAATATATTTGTTCCTTTAAAACAATATTAATAGCACACAAGCATAATTTTTGTTGTTCGTTTTCACTGAATACTATAACTTGAGATCATGGTCATCCATAGAAGTGGGTTCAAAACAGATATAAGAATTTGCTTCTTCATTTGGTTCCCCTTGAAACAGTCCAGTTGTGTCTGACTCTAGGGCTTGCTCCTCATCCCTGTCTCCAAGCCGTAGAGCCAGCATTTGTCCGTAGATAGTTTCTGTGGTCATATCACCAGCATAACTAGACACAGAACTCCATGCTCTTCATACGACATACAATTAGACAAATCATAAAATTGACTGGCACAATGTGTGGCAATGGCAAAAGGATAAATTGAAAAAAAGTGATTACATCCTTCTATAGAGACCTTTGGGTAGTGTGGGTGGCATATAAATTAAACAAATAAATAAATATAGAAGACATGTTTGTCAAATGTTGATAACCTTGATGGATAAATGGAACCTCCATGTGGAAGAGCAGGGACTGTCTGAGTATCTGGCACTCAAGAGAAACATCAACCAATTGCTGTTGCCTTCAGGTCCTACCAGTACACTTCCAGACCTTGCATCGAACCCAAGGGAGCTTGATGTATTATACCCCTCCAAGCATTTGCTACTTATTCTGATTTTGGCTGTCATGGGGACAAGTCAGTCCCTATCAGAACAGGAGGCTAGATGCAAATATTTCTAATTTAATGAATCAGTCTTTGTGTTTTCAAGGAGGGAGTTTCTGCCACACTCCTTCTCTGTCCCGTCTACCTGTCCATCTTAAACTGCCATTTGCTGTCCTTCTGTCTTCTGCAGCATTCAGTAATGCTCTTCATTCTCTGGATGGAGCTACATCCCGAGGAGATTTTGTGGCTCTCCTGGATCACTTTGGCAACCACTACATACAGGAAGCTATCTATGGCTTTGAGGAGTCCTGTTCTATATGGTATCCCAACAAGCAGGTTCAAAAGCAGCTCTGGCTGGAATATGAAGACATCAGCAAAGGTAGGAGGGTTACAGCTGTTGTTCTATTTAACTTCAGAGAGAGAGTTGCAGAGAATGGCAGATACCAGCTGTGAAAAAATCAGGTTAATTATCTTCTGTTGCCAAAAAGGTTCTATACAAGGAATACATTATATAGTTATGTGAAAAAGAAAGTCCACCCTCTTTGAATTCTATGGTTTTACGTTATCAGAACTCAATAAAAATCATCTGGTCCTTAGCAGGTCTGAAAATTAAGTAAATATAACCTCAGGGGAACAACATCACATGACATATTACACCATGCTATGATTTAGTTAACAAAAATAAAGCCAACATAAATACACCCTTACTGCTTCCTAAGGGATTAAGAGGCTAAGTAGCAGTCAAGTGCTGTGAACCAAATGCCTTAGAGTAATAGATCATCAGCAAGTGTGACCACCTCTATAAAAACCAAAATTTTAGCAGTTTGGTGGTCTGTAGCATTCAGGTGTGTGTTAACACAATGCCAAGGAAGAAACATATTGCCCAACGAGAACAGAACTGTAAGCAGTGAAGGGTTCATGCTAAGCCTGATGAAGTGGAATTTTCTCCACAAAAGCTTGCAATTTGCTTGATTTCTTAAGCGGTCTAATAAAATACATCACCCATACTTATGTTTGTGTGATCTTGAGGACCTCATAGCCTTTTTCTTGTTCTTTCTCAGGAGTAATCTCCCTTAAAAGTAACGCTTCAAGGCATCAGGGAATCACTCTAGCCTGTCCCCTGAAGTAGTAGCCCTTTTCCTAGAGCAAGATGATCCACTTTGAGCACAGATTGGGGTAGTGCTATTGCTTATGTGTCATGTGATTGCCAGGAAATTGCTCAAACCAGACTGTGCCACAAGCAGTCCAAACTGCAAGCTATATATGTCCATAAGATCACACCCTCACTGTTTCATTATGACCATAAGTGGCAAAATTCAGCTGGGATATTTGGAGCATGTACCCAAGACAGGTTCAGTTTGCCCTAGCAGGCCAAATAAGATGGCTACTGTGGCACAACAAAATCAGAGATTCCAGGGTGTTGGGGATGAGGATACAACCCTCCTGCCTGTGGCGCCATTTATCTGGTCACACAACACTACCTCTTCCTTTTTTTAACAAGAAGTAGCAGCATCTCAGTTTTCTTTTGTTGAGTCACACACGTTGTCTGCTTCCATGCAGCTCAGAATGCCTTCTATAGCAAAATGTCAGACTTTTCTCAGAGTTGCAGTTAATGGGCCATACCTGCCCTCACATACTCAGCTCTTCCTATTCTCCATTGTCTTCTAAACTGGTGATGGAAACACTTCAGGATTAGAGGACGTGGTTGGTTTTTGACTAGAATCATAAGGTCCACCAAGTGGAGTCACATTCAAAGTGGCAGAGGGACAGACATCCAGAGAATTCAAAATAAGCAGACCTTTTACCACCTGTTTAGCAGGGAAATGTTTTTGTATGGAAACTGAATTTATGGTTTCAGAATTCTATGATAGAGTGTGAGTGCTGTCCCATGAACTACAGTAGGAAATGTTGAGTACCTCATTGAGGTGGTAAGAACACCTGAACTTCCAACTATGAGTTTCATTTGAGAACTAGGTGTGGTACACATTCTGACTGCTTTAAATTCACTGGGACCTCTTTTGAAGGGATAATCTCTCAGTCTAATGTACCTCACAGGCTTATTTAACAATAAAGTGTAGGTGAAGAATCCATGGATGCCTCTCTGAACACTTTTAGAGTGATATCAATATCCTTTGTGAATTGTTCTGGGCATATTAATTGTGCTTGCATTTTTGGTCTGGGTTACACATCTGGCCTTTCATATGTTGTTCTGCAATTTTGCAAGGTCTTCATACAGTTTTTATACAGAGTCATACAGACTGATAGTTTTTGTCATAGACTGGAGAGTGTCTTTCTTGGACTACAGCTGCTGGCTGGGGGATTCTGGGAGTTGCAGTCCAGAGGAGTAACTTTTTTCAGTACCTATGTTTTGAATACTGTATTTGAATGGCTGGATCAATATCTGGCAGAGGCACTTAATGGATTGTCCATTCTAAATTTAAACTAGATGATTTTCCAATGATTTCCCAAACTACTTGTGACTCTACAGCAACATGTAAAACAATGGCTGGGCAACATCTTCTCAATTGAAAAGTGCCTTCAAGAGATGATGCTCTAGAACAAAGAAGTGAAGAGAGCATGGTGCTTAATCTTTCAGCTGCTCGCCTGAAACTCCCCCCTCCTGCTTGTCTTACCTACTGCTCACTGATTCCCCTTTGGGTATTCCAGGCCCATTTTTACTATGACAGTATAGCCTGAAAACCCTCTAGTGGTACAGGCGCTGGAAGGGCATTTCAGGGCTTGTACCACTGCAGGGTTAAGCAGGGTTAAACATTGCATTCTTGAGGATGCATTGCAGCAGCAACAGCAAAGGTCCTCTTCAGCTCTCATTCCATGTGGCTGAAACCAGCTCCGGTTTTTGTGTATAACATTACTTAGTAGAATTTACTCCTGCATTAGCTTTGGAGATGTACCTGAATTCACTCTTATCTTATATCCTACCTGCCCACCTGCCTCCATCAACACTCTGCATCAAGCACTTCTAACATGCAGCATTTTCTGCTTTTCATGTTTCAAGCAACAGCATTCATAACCTCTCTGTTTCTTTAGATCTCACATTTTCTCTTTTCTTTGTACTGCATTTCTCATTTCAGTCTCTTTTCAGTCCTGTCACCTGCCACACTCTGCTTCGCTTTCTTTCTGTATCCTTTCCCCCTCAGTGTATGTCAAGAGCTTTATATCGATTGAAAAATTGCAAGAGAAGAACCATTCTCTGTCACTGCTGCTTTCTCCCTGGAGCCTACTAAACAGCAATTCAAAGCTCTCCTAAAGTGGTCTATTTCCTGCATAATGGGGAGGCTAAGAAAAGCCCTATATTTTCAGGCTGCTCATCCCCCTTCCCAATTTAAAAGACTTCTTTTCTTTGTGGGAGTTTCTTTCAATAAGGCACTGGCTCCAGGCCTATTCTTTATGAAATGTTTAGACATGGACAACAGTCAGTGGGAGAGAAATGGTCTTATTAAATGAGACACAAAGATTTATCTCTGGGCCTTCATAATAAGACTTGGTTACACAAACCTCTGCTCTCTGAGCTGAGATTTAAGGTTTTCTCATGTCCTCAGATTTTTTTCCCTTCTGTTTAGACCTGTGTTCTGTAACAAGTTATCATAGACTGCTGTCATACCATTCATAGAATAAGGTGTCAAGATAAACTGCTGGCAAGGAAAAGAACAGAACTCATTCTTCCATTGGTGACATAGCCTGGCCCATGGTGGGGAACAGCTAAGTTCTCACTAAGCCTATTCCCCTCTCTTGGATGGATGTGAGCTACTGAAACTGTACTACATTCCCTAAATTAGACTACTATAGTTACATATGTCAGAGAACTTCCTGTTTCAGGCAGCAACATGCATACAGCAGGACCTAGAATGGGCAATGACTTGTAGCTCCTTCTTCCCTTATGTCAGATGCAATCTCACTCCAGTTCCAACATGTGTACTTGACATTAGAATTTGTTTGCTCACCTTGTCCCCTAGCTCTCTGCATAGCACAACCTATGCTTTTGCAGACTGGCTGAGAGGAGTTAATGCCAATATATTTTGGTCTGAGGTAATCACAATTTGTACATAAGAGTGGCAGTAGACAATTCTTTGACTCTAGAAGACTGGACTCTCAGGCTATACCAAAGCTAATTCTGGGCAAAAAGGTCAGAAATCAGGTTCTTCTTCTTCGTGGCCTCTGTGCCTTGGGCCTTGTCTGCGCCTGCGCTGACGTTCTCGGAAGATTCTAGAGCTGAAAGTAACAATTTAGTGGTGTGATTCCCCCACAAGGCATATGCTCCTCCCTCCCTCCATTCCCCGCAGTTCCTTTTTTCCGCCGAGCTGTACGGTTCTCCTTCTTAAGACTGAGCTTTCTCTTTAGCCTTTTTGAAGCTAATTGCCCAAACGGCCCTTTTCAGGGCTACTGTTTTCTCCTTCTTATTTTCTTTACTCTTTCCTAATCAGTTGGAGCTATCTGCTTCTCTTTTACTCTGTTTTGTTGCCTTTTCCTGCCTTTTTGATTCCCCCTTCCCTTTCTTATGGCCTACCAGTTTCCTTTCAAATGGTGCACTTCTTGTTCTAATAAGATTTCTCTCTCTGACGCTCACAATCAGTGTCTTTTCTGTCCGGGTGAATCTCACCCCACTCATTCTTGAGCCGCCTGCAAAAATCTCACTCGGCCGGCACTCAAACGCTTACAGAGGCTTAGATCTCACCTTTGGCAAACTGCAATGAATCCTTCTTCCCCCTCCAGGGAAATGGTAAGATCCCCTGTTTCATCGGGCGAGAGACTCCCTACAGCTCAGACTGCCCCTGAAACCCCGGTCTCCAACCCACCTAAGGATAAAGCACAAAAAAGAGAAAATGTCTAAGCCAAAATTGTCTGCTAAATCCTCCACTAAACCGCTTGATCCTCCTTCGAAGAAAAAATCAGCAACAAAACCCCCGAAAATGAATGAACCCTCCTGCCCTCAGCCATCTCTCCCCTCTTCCATTTTGGAGGAATCCTCGAGGGACGCTCATGATTTTGCCTCTGATCAGGAGGAGGTTCAGCAAATAATAGTCTCTGCTATGACATCGAGCCTAACACTGAGTATTGGCCATTTCCTGGCTGCGCACCTGCCCAGCCTGGCCTTGGCCCGTTCCAACCCAACATCAGGGCAGGCAGTTGAAATCTCAGTTTCCAACCCCGAAACTGCCCCTCCTTCTCCCAGAAAATAAACGGAGAAAAGGAAGCATGTCTCCCCGCAGAGACCTATGGCACTGTATAGGGCCTTTCCCCCTTTCCCGATGATGCCATACCAGGTTTTTTACCCTTCTGTCTGGCAAGCACATTTCAAACGGTGTCATACCGAGCAACAAAAGTGAGCTCCTCTTACTTCCGAATCCTCTCAACCTCCTT